CATCAGTGTGAGAGTGATACATGAGTTGGCTGCCTCCTGTAAGTCCCCTACTTGGAATCTAATGCACAATATTTTGTTGCACAGGAGGTTGCCAAACCAACTGAGCCACACTGACCATGGCATGTTCTACTTCTTTTTTTTTTTTTTTAATATATTTTATTGATTTTTTACAGAGAGGAAGGGAGAAGGGTAGAGAGTTAGAAACATCGATGAGAGAGAAACATGGATCAGCTGCCTCCTGCACAACCCCTACTGGGGATGTGCCTGCAACCAAGGTACATGCCCTTGACCAGAATCGAACCTGGGACCTTTCATGTGCACAATGTAATGGAAACATACACCATACACTTTGGTTTTTGTTGTTGTTGTTAACCCTCGCCCAAGGATATTTTTTCCATTGATTTTTAGAGAGAATGGAAGGAATTAGGGAGGGGGGTGTGTGAGTAAGAAACATCAGTGTGATTGAGACACATTGATTGGTTGCCTCCCGCAAGCACCCCAAACCAGGGCTGGGGATAGAACCTGCAACCCAGGTACATGCCCTTGACCAGGAATTGAACCCGTGACATTTTGGTTGGAGAGTGGAGCATGAGAGAGATTTTCTGGGAGCCGTGCACACTGGTCAGCAATGGTGCCCTCAGCACAGATGCGAGAGAGTGGACTTTACTCCAGCTCTGACCCAGCTGTGGAATGACAGAAATGACTTTGGGGAAGGAGGGAGGTCAGAGACACCCTCAGGATCCCGGGAGGGATGTGAGGGCCTTACTCATGGATGCAGTAAATGCAAAGTTCTCCCACATCCCATCACGGTAGGTGAACCCCAGCCTCACCCAGGAGACCCCACTCCAGGGAGAAGTTAATGGCCATGGTCTCCAATGCCATACTCTGTCATTATAGGGGTGGTTTATTCTACTATAGTAGCTTCTCTCCTATCACCAGAATGACCAATTAAGAAAATGTCCCAGACGATGGCAGTTTTGCATCTTATTTTATTATTTTTTTAAAATATTTTTTATGGATTTTTTACAGAGAGGAAGGGAGAGGGACAGAGTCAGAAACATCAATGAGAGAGAAACATTGATCAACCGCCTCCTGCACATCTCCAACTGGGGATGTGCCCGCAACCCAGGTACATGCCCTTG